AGATTCTGTTCTTCTCTCTCGGCACAAGCAACAGATATCTTCTCCTTGAACCCCTGTAGACCCTCCGTTTCCAGCGTTTCATCTTCGTCGATGTCGAGCCCCTTCCATACGTCCTCTACAACCTTGACCCATTCCGTGGGTTGTCTACCCCTCTTTTTGTTTGCCCACTTCGCCTCCCATACAATCCTACTGTGGGGAGCGGGGAAAATCTCGAGACCTTTCTTGGCGCTCTAGCAGGCGGCAATGTGAGGGAGGTGGGAGGGGTCGTGCCTATTTGTTGCTTGCCATAAGTCATGGTCATACTCCTTGACTCCAACTGATGAATCCCTTTCGGGAAAAAGAGGAGGCCCAGGGGGGTCGAAGGGGGGGAAGGGGCGGTTCATTTTGCTGTGCGTTCGAGGTGCATGCATTACGGCAGTCGCCAGACCCTCCCATCGGACGACTCGACGCTGATGCCGCTCATGATGACACACTTCTACATACCTGAGCGTTGTTGCATGTGGACACGAACACGATCGTGCTCTGCCCCGCGAACTCGTTGAGCACGTAGGCGAGATAGCAGTCCTTGTGCTTGGCCGGGATGAAGAGGTACTGCTGAACCAGGGTCTTCGGAGTTGAGAACTTGTTCGCGACTTCCACCTGTGTTTTTGCGATGTTTTTTTTTGTGGAAATGGCAACAAGTACACGCTTTAGCGACTGCTAAAATCACAAGGCTCGCAGTGCTTTATACGTACCTCTCCTTCTACTTGAAACTATTATAGGCCCTGTATTAGACTATAGGATAGCACTCGCTCGTCGCAACTTAATAGCTCACGAGCTTAACCGTCACGAGTTCGCTCCTGGCTCTCTATTGCAGGAACACGGCCAGTATCATCCCCCTGTTCACCACGGTGACTTTGATTGCTCCGTTGGTACTTTTTCTTCCCGGGTTCGCTCGTCCCCGGCGTGTTCATCTTGTGATCTGCTCACATCGCCTTTGGACGATTTCCCTGGATGTACTTTCTGATTCGGTTCGTTGATTCTTACAAAGGCGTGCCCCTCTTTATTGGGTGGCTTCTGCCATCACGGAACGCGTCCGCGCCAGTTGGATCAGCACCGATACCATCGAGCGGAGACCGGGACGGTTTAACCGTGTGCCAGACAACAGCACCCACTCACCCTGACGGGGTTCTTGAGAGAGGCCCTCTGCAGCTTGGCCACCTTCGACGTCATGGTGGCGCTGAACAGGAACGTTCTTCGCTCCCTCGGAAGCACGCTGAGCACCTTGTTGATTTCCTCTTCGAAGTCCTGACCACAAAGAAAAGCAAAACGAAAACGCCACTTGCGTGCGTGTGTAGTTGTAGGTTTGCGTGCGTTTCGATACTCCTATTCTGAGGCGTCCGTCCTCGTCAGCTGGACCAGTACGGATATCGAATTAGAAGGTACGGAGCGGAGACCGGAACCGTCCTCAATGCCAAGACAATACCAACAACAAAAACTACAAACAACACCTTACGGTATGTGTTGCACGCACGACAACGGTTTTGCCCTTTTCTTATTCGTCCTGTAAGCGCACGACTGGGCGCATTTCCACAAAAATGCGAAACTTTGTCGCTCCTGGGAGGTTCTGGACCTCACAACTTACAGCAGCAGGGGCAGAAGGGTTGACGAGTTTACCAACTGTAGCCCACTGCCGTGTGACCGCACTGAGCTCACGTAGTCATGTTGGAAAAAAAAAAAAATCATGACGGAGAGGTGGTATGGGGGTGGGCTATGCCCCCTGTCTACTGCAGCAGCAGGAACAGGAACAGCACGACGCCCGCTCACCACAACGATACATGGCACCATCCCATCATTTATCCCATTGTTAGATTATACTAACATCCTGTTTTGTGATAAAGATGTCGAGCAAGAGGCTCACCATGCCGAGCATCCTGTCAGCCTCGTCTAGCACGAGGTACTTGGCGGTCCTCAAGCTGAAGCCCTTGGTGTTCTCCAGGTGATCCACCAGACGCCCCGGCGTGGCAATCACCACGTGCGGCTTCAGGGCCAGTGCTACCGACTGGGGAGGGGGGGAGGAGGGGAGAGGGGGGAAGAGCGGAAGGCACACAGAGAAAAATCAAGAGGGGGCAGGGGCCGGGGGCGGATGGAGGGGTAGGCAGAGGTTCGGGGGGATGAAGATCGATAGAAAGGGATGGGGGGCCATGGCACCAGCAGGTACAGCAGCACAGCACCGACAGCAGCCATCAGGAGCGGTTACGTAACAGTGTCACGGTATGGTCGTGCACGGGCTCAAGCCAACGGCTGCTAGTACAACAGAGAGGGAAATACACTAGACAAAACACGCCCAACAGAGAGGATAGCCAACGATTCTGAGCGGGCGCGGGGATAAGCAGACAAGGCATGCTGAAACTTGCAATCTAGCAGAGAAGTAAACAAAGCCACGGGAATACTGGTGACCCGTAACCTGGTGCTGTTCGGACAGTAGAATGCATCTAGTCACGAAACGTGCAGCCAGCCACGTACTTTCTTTTTTTGCAAGCACGGAAAAACTATAACACTGCGGTGACATCAAAGGAGCAGAGAAACTTACAAAACCCACGACACACCCGGGCGGTCTCTCTACTATAAGCGGTTGCCACCCCCTCCCCTGCGGCGCAATCACGGGGAGGCGTTTGTGGTGCAATCGAACACCCGTACACCACCGCCATACGTGGTCGGCGCGGAGGAGGCTGAAACACAACATCCATACAGGTTCTCAGGAGAATCAAGCATCTGCCCGCATACGAACGCTTTCGATTCTCTTTTGCTCAAGCACGGCGGCGGGAAAATCAATCCGTCCATACAAGAAGGGGTGTCCCTCCCTCCCTCCACCCCCCAGGCAGTCAAAAAAAAATCCGCCAGAAGGACGGCCAAAACCTACCTGCTGAAACATGTCGATACCGCCAACGATGCAGACGGTCTTGAGGCCGATGCCCACGCCAAGGGCTTCCATCACCTTTCCTCGAAAGAAGGAAAGAAAAACGTGTTTTGCGGGGCAATTGGTTTCTCGCGTCGGTACGAGAGGGGTGTGTGTGTGTGCGTGCTCACGTAAACGCATGCGGTGGTCGTTAGACCATTGGACCTCGCATTCCTGCGATGCCGGCACGGAGCGATATGCCGGGTTTTCGCCGGTCCAGGCTACGTTTCACAAGGATAAACCAGAAGCTGGTCATCATCCTTTGAAGTGTTGGTTGTTTAAGTCGCTTGTCCCCCGGCTACTGACCGGACATCACCTCTTTGGAAGCCAAGCACCGGTGCCGTCCCGCATGAATCTAATTAGAGACAAGACACCGCAGCCATTTTGTCGACAACGCTCCGTGGGTGCATGAGATTGCGTGTGCATGGGAAGGGATATCAGCCCCTGATTTGGACGGTGTGACCGAAAAGGCCAAGGATAGAGAGGCAATTCCTGTCAGGTTCCGTTCGACGCATACTGCACCTCCAAGATAAGCAGAAAAAGCCAATGGGAACTTACACGTTTTCCAACCTCTCGCTCTCAGAACAAGTTTTTTTCGGTATGTTCAGAGAAAACCGGCGCTGTTTAATATGGTGGTCCTCTTGTAGCAGGGAACGTAAACTTCCACGTCCAAGTTTGGCAACTCTCTTCAGGAGCTTAGATTCCGTACACACAACATACGAGTACGCCGACTCGCTCTCTCCCCCCCCTGCCCGCCAGGCCACCAAAAGAAACACCTCACGCACCTCGTTGATCTGGAAAGCTAGCTCTCGCGTCGGCGCCATGACGACAGCAAAAAGCCTCTGCGGGTTTTCCAAGAGGGCCTGAAGGATGGGGAGGGCGAACGCTCCGGTCTTCCCCGACCCCGTCTCCGCGAGGCCGATCACATCCTTACCCTAGCCGTCGTTGTAATGTCAAGACCACCAGGGAGAGGAAGGACACCAGGCGGTCACAGCAGCAAGGCGAGGCAAGACGCAAAGAGACGATGACGGATTGATGTTTTCGGTGCTCATGTCGATGGCATTGTTGTTGTTGAGGTTGATCGTGTTGCTGATGGTATTATTGCCGTTGGCATTTTCGCTGATAATGTTGCTGGTGTACAATAGTCGCTCGATACATACATAGCAGTGGCAGTACATTCGTGCATGCCGAGGTGATCGCACGCAGACTCGCGCCATGTTCGCGGTTGTACAAAAAGACCAACATTGTCTGCGAGACGGCTCGCATGCGTAGAGAGGTTGTGGTCTCCGTGCAAGATATAGGTGAGGGATAATTGCAAAAAACACTGCCTGCCCCAAACAGAAGGACGGTATCTTCTGCGCCTCCCGATTGTCACCACCGCATGGCCGAAATGAATGAAGACACAAACGCCAGCACACCACACCGCCGTGCTCCGTCCCGGCTTCGTAGGGATGCGAGGTCAATGGTCGAACTATCAACTACGGCATGCACGGCTAACTACGAGTAACCCCCTACCCCCCCCCGACTATGCGCCAAGTAGATGTAGGGAAGGAGTGGTTGTGAACTTGTTCAAGAAAGGAGGCAAGACTGACCCAGGAAACTACAGGGGGATCACACTGTTGAACAAGAGTGTTCTGTAAGCTGCTGAAAGATAGGATAGTGGGAGTATTGGAGAAGGAACAAAGCATTAGTGAGGGCCAGGCAGGTTTCCGAAAGAAGAGGGGGTGCGTAGAATNAGTACGGGATCAAGGGGGAAATGTGGAGAGTGCTGAAGAAGATGACAGAGGACNAGAAAGAGGGCGGGAAAGCCGACGTACTGCTTCTTCCTGGACGAGAAAAAAGCATACGATACCGTATGGAGAAATGAGCTGTGGAAACAATTGTCCAAATACGGGATCAAG